TACTCGGAGCATAGATTCCTTGGCTGATTTTTGTTTCTTTCACCTTGATCTGGGATCGTAACCCTCGACGGCTGGTTGATCGCCCTTAGCGCTTCAGCGACGAGTGGTGAACCCTTAGGTCCATGCCGAGGCTGATCTGGTAGGTGAAGAAGCAGATCGCCGGAGTCCGTTCCACCCTGGAACCCCACCAAATTGACCACGAGCATTTCACCCGCTTCCGCAAGTAGCTAGGCGCCATGGATCCCAACACCAAATTGATCCTCGACGAGCTCAAATCCGTGCAGACCAACCTAACCAAACATATCGTCGCGGTCGAGTCTTCAATCGGCTCCCGCGTCGAGTCCCTGGAGGATGCCGCCAAGGTGTTCGACACCTGAAAGCCCCAGATGGAGGCGACCGTGAAGGAGTTGTGCACTGAAGTGGGCGCGATTCGGAAGACGGAGGCGTCGGTGGAGTCGTTGCGGGAGGAGATGACCGCCCTCCGCAAGTCGATGAGCCGCACCGTCCTCGACACCGCACTCGCCATGCCCACGGGGGTCCTACCGTCCCCTGCGGTGACCGCAGCGAAGGTTCCTGTCGGGGTCACCATGTTCAGCCCGATAAGGCACCGCGAGAAATCAAGCCACCGGGGATTCGAGTTTCCTACTCAATCCCCGGTCAAGGGTAAGCTCATCCCGCCCAATCCCAATCCCCATCCCAAGTTGATGAGATCTCACTCTAGTTCGGCTCTGATGGCAGGGGTGCGGGCGGGGGGGTTCGGGAGGTGATGATGCCTATTGCGACTTCAGTGATGGTCGTGAACACATTCCTAAGATGAATTTTTGTCATGGTGAAAATCCCAAGTTATGGCCTAGGTCGTTGTTTTCATTACTTTGACATGTACTATGTTCCTCGCCGCCGTTGGGTTAAGGTTGCCACTATGCACATGACCGCGGCCGCCGCTCGCTGGTTGCAGTCCGTTGAGGAGAGTGTTAGGGCGGGGAGTTGGGATCAGTTTTGCCACATGGAGCGCTTTGGCAAGGACCAACATGCTCTTCTCATTCGCCAACTTTTTCACATCCACCAAACTCATACTGTTCAGGATTACATAGACAAATATACTGGGTTAGTAGAGCAATTGGTTGCTTATGGCAAAAATACTGATCCATTGTATTACACAATGCGCTTTGTGGATGGGTTACGCTCTGATATTCGCAGCGCAATACATTTACAGCGATCCACTACTTTGGATATTGCTCTGTTACAGGAGGAACTTGTGGATCCGTCTCGGCAGCGTGATGTTCGTCGGCGGGAGCCGTTCACGTTCGCCAAGGCACCGGTGCGGGGGCGCTACCTCCACCGCTGCCAGAGCGTCAGGACAAACCGGCACCAGCAGCCCCAGCCCCTGAAGCTCGCCGCGCCTAGCATTGAGTCCAAGCTGTCAACGTTGAGAGACTATCGCCGTGCTCGTGGCCTTTGTATTCACTGTGGAGAAAAATGGTCACGAGTGAAAGTGTAGGAAGATTGATATCTATTCCAAGTATGTTTACAGGAGTACATATATAGCAGCCATGGGTGGCATGCAAGCCTACCACTAAGGCGCAATTACAGCCACAATTACATGCCTAATTATAGTAGTCTAACACTCCCCCGCAGTCTAATCGGGAGCATCGCTAACGGTCAGACTGGACCGAAACTCCTGGAAAAGCGAGGTAGGAAGACCCTTGGTGAAGACGTCTGCGTACTGTGATGTTGTAGGTACATGAAGAACTCGAGCATGACCGAGGGCAACTTTCTCTCGAACAAAGTGGAGATCAATCTCAACATGTTTTGTTCGCTGATGTTGCACTGGGTTGCTAGAGAGATATACGGCACTGACGTTATCACAATAGACCACGGTGGCTCGGCGAGGAGGATGGTGAAGTTCAATCAACAGCTGTCGCAGCCAGGTAGCTTCAGCAACACCATTTGCCACAGCTCGGTATTCAGCCTCGGCGCTGGACCGCGAGACGGTGTGCTGGCGCTTGGAGGACCAGGACACCAGGTTGTCACCTAGGAACACTGCATAGCCGGAGGTGGAGCGACGGGTATCCGGACAGCCAGCCCAGTCTGCATCCGTGTACACAACGAGGTCTGTAGGTGACGAGCGGCGCATAGTCAAGCCAAGTGAAAGAGTACCTTGCAGATATCGCAGAATCCGCTTGAGAGCCGTGAGGTGAGGCTCCCTGGGGTCGTGCATATAAAGGCATACTTGCTGAACAGCAAAAGCAATGTCTGGACGGGTGAAAGTCAGATACTGTAAGGCGCCGGCTAGGCTGCGGTACTGTGTGGCATCAGCGACAGGAGATCCCGCTGCAGATAATTTGGAGTGTAGATCAACAGGGGTGCTGCATGGCTTGCACTCACTCATCCCGGCTCGCTCCAAAATATCTTGTGTGTACTGTCGCTGAGATAGAAATAACCCACTAGCAGAGCGTGCCACTGAAATACCCAGAAAATGGTGAAGTTGACCCATATCTGTCATAGCAAACTCACGCTGAAGGGCCCCAATAACATGCTGTAGAAGACCAGCAGAGGAAGCAGTGAGAACAATATCATCCACATAGAGCAACAACAGGGCAGTATCGGCTCCTCGACGATATATGAAGAGTGAGGTGTCTGACTTTGCTTCAACAAATCCAAGTGAAATAAGATGAGAAGCAAACCGTTGATGCCAAGCACGCGGCGCCTGCTTCAGGCCATACAGTGATTTGTTGAGGCGGCAAACAAAATCAGGACGAGAGGAATCCACAAAACCTGTCGGCTGAACGCAGTAGACTGTCTCTGTGAGAGTACCATGCAAGAACGCATTCTTCACATCCAGTTGGTGAATAGGCCAGTCCTGAGAAAGAGCCAGAGAGAGAACCACACGGACTGTCGCGGGCTTGACCACCGGACTGAAAGTCTCATCATAATCAATACCAGGCCGCTGTGTGAAACCCCTGAGAACCCAGCGAGCCTTGTAGCGATCAAGAGAACCATCTGCGTGCAGTTTGTGACGAAAAATCCACTTGCCCGTAACCATATTAACACCAGGAGGTCGTGGCACAAGACTCCAGGTGTCATTGGCGATCAATGCATCGAACTCAGCTTGCATAGCGCCAGCGCCAATGTGGATCGACGAGGGGCATCACGAACGGAGCGAGGCAAGGTGACATGGCCACAACATGGAGATTCAGGCGATCCACGTGTGGGCGATGCCGGATTTGCCGCGCGTGCGCATGGGATGTGCATTGTCGACGGGGGCGGTGGAGACTGGCCGAGTGGCCACTGTGCGGCCGGTGGCGGTGGTGCTGCTGGCAGCGGCCCGCTGGATGAACGGGGTAGCAAGACCGGGCTCCTGTGTGGCGAGGCGCTCGGGCGCTATCGGGCAGCGGCTTTGTCTGCGGGTGACACAGGGCAGCAGCCATTGGGCCAGCGAGCGCGCCAAGCGCCGCCGGTCCAAAGGCTCGTCCAAGTGGGGGAGGAGGGCACCGGCACAGGGGACAGCTCATGGTGTGACGCCGGGCTGGCTGGTGTACCTACATGCACAAACGGAGCTCCAGGAACCGGAGCGGTAAGATCATCCTCATCAAGAAGGAAGTCCAAGGCGGAGGATGCCATGGGCGTGGTAGACATATTGGCGAAAGGGAAGGAGGATTCGTCAAAAATGACATGGCGAGAAATAAGAATGCGGTTCGACTGAAGCTCCAGACACCGGTAGCCTTTGTGTTCGGAGGAGTAACCGAGGAACACACATAGAGAGGAGCGGGGTGCAAGTTTGTGAGGTGCCGTGGCGGACATGTTAGGGTAACAAGCACACCCAAAAACTTTGAGATGGTCGTAGGAGGGTTGTGTGGAATAGAGGTGGGTGTAGGGAGTCGAGAAAGTGAGAGTTTTGGTGGGGAGCCGGTTAACTAGGTAGGTGGCGGTGTGAAGTGCCTCGACCCAGTAGACCGGAGGAAGGCTTGCCTGAAAAAGAAGAGAACGCAGAATATTGTTAAGTGTGCGGAGAGAGCGTTCGACCTTTCCATTTTGCTTGGGAAGTGTATGGACACGACATGCGGCGTGCAACACCGTGGGAGAGAAAGAACGTCATGGCTGCGAAATTGTCAAATTCATGCCATTGTCGCCTCGACGCTTTTGATGGTGGTGCCGAACTGAGTGTGAACATATGCGAAAAAAAATTGGAAAGAGTGGAGAACGTCTCGGATTTTTTACGGAGGGGAAAAGTCAAATGTAATGGGAACAATCATCCAAAATAACAAGATAATATTTGTACCCAGACACACTGACAATAGGAGATGTCCAGAGATCACAGTGTATCAAATCAAAATTATTAAAAGCTCGAGAGCTAGAGGTCCCAAACGGAAGTCGTGTGTGCCGACCGAGCTGGCACGCATGACATATGTGGTGGAAATCATCTTTATTGCAGGAGATAACACTGGAGCTAATGAGTTTGAACATTGCTTCACGCCCAAGATGGCCGAGACGCCGATGCCAAAGTGAGGTAGGTGCGGCGATGAAGGCGGTGGTGCTGGTGGTGGGTGGGAAGAACGGGTAGAGGTCGCCAGAGCTATTGCACCTGGCGATCACGGTCCTGGTGTGTAGGTCCTTCACAGAAAGGCCAAACGGATCAAATTCAATGGAACAGTTGTTATCAGTGGTAAAACGGCGAATGGAAATCAAGTTCTTAATTATATGTGGGGAAACTAAAACATCATTAAGAACAAGATTACGATGCGGAAAGGAAAAAGTGTTGGAGGTACAGAGTGTTTTACTCAGCCAGGGATTATACACCCAGGCGACTGCTCTTTCATATATAGGAGATAAGTAGCACATTGATTACATTGATGGCTCATTAGAGCATTAACTAAACAACTAATCGCTCGGGTACTTGCACAAATCACTTGTGCTGCCCAAGGCCTTAATAGCGTAAACATAAATAAGCACGATAACTAAGTGATAATCGGGAGCAGGACTTAACTTCTACAGCTTCTCCCCTAAGACCTGCTTCCCCCATCCTTGATCTTCATGATCCCAATCTTGCTTCTCATGTCTTCAAACTTGGCCTTGCCTAAGGCCTTAGTCGTAATGTCTGCCAGCTTGATCATTTGTGGCGGCGAACTCGGTCTTTGATGTCGCTTTTCTTCAACACAATCTCTCGATGAAGTGTTGCTTGATTCTCGATATGCTTGCTTCATCATGAAAGATGTGGTTCTTTTGCAAGTGCTATTGCTGATTTGTTATCCACTCGCAGCTCTACTACTTCCACTTTCTTTCCCAACAATTCAGCAAGTAACCTGGACAGCCACAGTAGCTTGTGTTGCAGCAGTAGTCATGGCAACATACTCGCTTCACAGCCTAGATAAGGCAACTACTCTTTGTTTAATGGATCGCCAATCGACCAGATTGTTGCCTAGGAAGAATAGACAACTCAGTAGTGCTCTTGCTTGAGTCAATATCTCCAGCCAAGTCTCGAGTCACAAGAGCCAATGAATCTGGCTTCACCGGATGCCTTGGTGAAGTGCAGCCATACTCCGCATCGCCTCGCCACATACCGAAGAAGATACGCTTCACCGCTCACGATGCTCTATGGTGGGCCTCTCCAAAATCTACTCACAAACCCGATCGCAAATGCCAAGTCAGTCGAGTATGAACCAAATATCGCAGTGCTTCCAACCAAATGCACAGACTGTGTTGGATCAACTTCCTTGGCTGTACTCTTCTTGCTCAATCTTAGCCTTTCCTCCATAGGAGTGATCACTGGGTTGCGTACCACCATACCACCACCCAATTCCAAAGATCCTTTTGGCATAGTGAGTCTGTCTAAGGGTGATGCCATCGTGCTCTCATTGACTTCAATGCCTGGATAGAAGCTTAAGAGCCCGAGGTCACTCATCTCAAATGTTGCTTTCATTTCAGCCTTGAAGCTTTCAACATCCTGCTCTTTGGCCCCTGTGATGATCAAATCATCCACATACACACCGACAAGCAACAGAGAGTTTCCAGAACCTCGCCTATAGATTGCAGCTTCATGGTTGCTTTGTCTGAAACCTTTCTTCTTCAATGTTGAATCAAGCTTTGCATTCCATGCTCTTGGTGCTTGCCGTAGGCCATACAGAGCTTTGTGCAAGCGATACACCTTGTCTTCTTGTCCAGCAACAACAAAGCCAGGCGGCTGATGCACATATACCTCCTCGTTGAGGTCTCCATTCAGAAATGCGGACTTGACGTCCATCTGATGAACAGACCAACCCTCCTGTGCCGCCAGAGCCAACAAGACTCGAACGGATTCCATGCGTGCGACAGGGGCGAAAGCATCATCATAATCCACGCCTTCTTGCTGGACAAAGCCACGAGCGACAAGTCTGGCTTTGTGTTTGATAACATTACCGTGTTCGTCCTTCTTCAATTTGAACACCCACTTCAGGGTGATTGGACGGTGGCCAGCAGGAGGCTTCACAAGCTCCCAGGTCTTGTTTCTCTCTACTGATCGCAGCTCTTCTTTCATTGCTGCGCACCACGCTGGATCTCTCTTGGCTTCAGTATGCGAAGTTGGTTCGCCAGAGTGCGTTAGATGCAGCTCTGCGAACAGGCGAGTTGCAGGTGGCGGTGTGGGCTGCTGGCCAATGATATTGCTGACAGTTCTGTAGCGAAGTGGTTCATCCTCGTGATAAGCATCCAGTCGATCATCATCATCCTCCAGAGGCGTGGCAAGCTCAATCTGAGGACTTGGTGGCGGTGGTGACACTTCCAGTGCCGCTGGAGCAGAATTAGCTTGAGGATGAGTTGATGCGGAGCCCTCTGCTCCTTCAACTCCAATTGGGCTGTTTGGTGCGAGTGTTCTTGGTGAATCCGGGAGCAGAGGCGACGACGGCGGTGCTGGTTCGCTCGCCTCCTCTGACCAGACATACTCAACTGTGAATTCACTGCTGTTCACAGCTGATGGCCCAGATTCCGGCGAGGACCAATCCCAGCCATGTTCTTCATCAAATACAACATCACGGCTGATCCTGACACGCCCGCTCACAGGCTCAAACACCCTATATGCCTTAGCTCCTTCTGCATAACCAATAAACACGCCGGCCTCGCCGCGGTCATCAAGTTTGCGCAGCTGACTGAGCTTCCTTGTGTATGCCACACACCCAAACACTTTCATGTGTCCCAGAGTTGGTGAACGTCCATGCCAGGCCTCATATGGAGTGATCCCCTTCAACGCACGTGTCGGTGATCGGTTCAGTATGTGGACTGCTGTCATCACAGCCTCCCCCCAAAACCGAGCTGGCAGGCCCCTCTGCTTAAGCAGTGCCCTTGCCATGGCCACTACTGACTGATTGCGCCGTTCAACTACCCCATTCTGCTGAGGTGAGTGGGGAGCACTGAAGTGCCTCTTAATGCCTTGTTCTGCGCAGTAGGTAGCGAAATCAGCAACTGTGAATTCTCCTCCATTATCGGTGCGAAGCACCCTGATTTTCTGACCACTCTCCGCCTCTGCGCTCAGTTTGATGCGCTTGATGGCTTCTGCTGCTGCATCCTTGCTTGGTATGAGCGCTGCCCACATGAAACGGCTAGCGTCATCGACGAGCAGCAGGAAATATCGATTCCCTCCAGGTGTTGCAGGTGTCACTGGTCCGCAAAGATCGCCGTGCACCAGCTCAAGGGGCTGTTTGGCACGGTACTGTGTTGCAGCTGGGAACGGGCGCCTTCTCATTTTGGTGGTGACACAGGTGTCACACACCTGCTCCACATGGTCAATAACCGGGACACCGCGCGCCATTTCCTCCTTCCCAAGTCTGCGGAGTGCATCAAAATTCAAATGCCCCATCCTCTCATGCCACTGCCACGCTACATCTCCTCTGCATGCTGCAAGACAAAGTGGCTGGGCTGCATGAAGTTGGAGTGTGTACAATCTGTTAGCCCCTCTCTTCACCTTGGCAATCAAACGGCCAGTGTGTTCCCAGATACGTAACACGTCGTGATATATCTCCACCTTGGAGCCAGTCTCGTCAAGCTGACCCAGACTGATAATGGAGTTCTTCAGGGCTGGTATATAGTACACGCCCTGCAGCACTCTATGCTCACCAGTTCTTCCTTCGAAAGCAATCGAACCGATGCCTTTGATGTCAACCTTGGACGCATCTCCAAATCGGACCGTGCCTCGCACGTCCGTGTTCAAGTCAGAAAAGAGCTCACGCCGTCCAGTCATATGGTGTGTAGCTCCTGAATCAAGGTACCACACATCTGCCTTTTCTTCATCGCCATTGGCACCAAGGAAGGCGCGGGCTTTTGGTTCTTCCAGATTCACCTCTTGAGCAGCATAGGTGTATGCCGGCGCGCACTTATCAAGATCAACGAGCCCATGCGCCAGAAACAGAGCCCCATCATCCTCGCATTCTGCATACTGCACACGGCCATTGTGGCCGCCGTCACCGCCGCCTGCGCCCCCTCGGCCACCAGCGTGCTGGCCTTGATTGCCACCGCGGCCGCCGCCACGACGGCCTCTGCCCCGTCCGCCGCCGCGGTCACCGCCACCATCACGGTCACCATCTCTGTCTCGCCGTGGATGAGGGCAGTCTCTTGCCCAGTGGCCCTCCTGGCCACAATTGTGGCAGGTATCGCCACAGCGTCCACCATCGCGGCCGCCGCCACGGCCCTTTCCTCGCCAGCCGCCGCGACCGCGGCCACCACCGCCGCCTTGGCCGCCGCCGCGCTGATTCTTTGAACTAGAGCCAGCAGAATCATCCCTGCCGCCCTTCTTCTCCTTCTTCCAGCGTGCGCGCCATTGCTCCTCAGTATACATGAGCTTGCCGCCGACGGTGATTGGCTCGGTAGGCGCTTGCTCTTCACGGTCATCAACAGCCTTGAGCCTCCCAGTGGCTTCCTCAAGCGTGAGCATGTCAAAGTCCAGAAACTGCTCAATAGCAACCACAATCATGCATACTTCGGCGGTATCAGACGCGCAGATATTCTCCACCACACGCCTCATCGATGTCCCGATCACCATGAAGGACAAGTCGTCGATCTGCAGAGTTGAGAGGCGGAAGGCAAAATCTTCGACGCTCTCTCCCGACTTGACACCGATGTTCTCCCGCGGGCGGATGCGGATGCGTTGCAGCGTCGCGCGGCGGACCCTGTCCACGCCGATGCGCGCAGCAGCTATGGCGTCCCACGCCTCCTTCGCCGTCCGCTTGTCGATGAGCGGAATCCCCATCTCCTTGGGAACCGCTGCGACAATCGCCTCCATAGCCCGCCGGTCGTCGCGGAACGAGACCCGCTCTCCTTCAACTGCGTCCCACAGATCGCGGGCCTGCATTCGCAGTTTCATCTCTTGGCTCCATTCGTGGTAGTTCGTTTTGGACAGCATCGGCCAGTTCGTGCCGCTGCCCGAGTCCCCTCAGATACGACCACCGTTGACACAGCGACTCTGTCGCCCTCGCCACCGCGACCCACGCTATGGATCAAGCGAGATGGAGACCTCCGACGCGAGCTCTTGACCTCCTCCTCTCCTTCTTCATACTCCAGCTCCTCTTCTTCCTTTTTTACGCTGCAATCTCCTCCTCAAAGACTACCTTGTGTCCTTGCCGCCTCCTCTGCAGCCGCTGCCGCCGCTGCCTTGCTTCGACTGGGCCACAGCAGCACCTCCTCCTCTCTAGCTTTTCAAGCCATGCTGCCCGGCCAGAGGAGTCCTCCGCATCGCTGACGCCCTTGGCAGCCTTCCTTCGGCGCTCAGAGGATGTCGAGGCCATGGATGAGAAAGCAGGGAAGGGGGCTCGAGTAGAAGATGAGAGAGAGGTGTCTAACCTAGGCTCTGTACCAATTGTTGGAGGTACAGTGTTTTACTCAGCCGGGGATTATACACCCAAAGCGATCGCTTCTTTCATATATAGGAGATAAGTAGCACATTGATTACATTGATGGCTCATTAGAGCATTAACTAAACAGCTAACTCGCTCGGGTACTTGCACGGTCACTTGTGCTTAAGGCCTTAATAGCGTAAAAACATAAATAAGCATGAGATAACTAAGTGATAATCGGGAGCAGACTTAACTTCTACAAAAGTGTGTGATCCAAAGGGCGTTGATTTGGAAGGAGTGCACCATTCCCAACAACGATAGATGAAGGTGTAAGTGATGAAGGGGATGAAACGGAGGAGAGTGTACCAGCATCCGCAATCATGTGAGAGCCAAAGACCCAAGTCAAAGATACCATTCGGATGATGGTGGCGGGTGAGCGACATCGTGTTGAAGGACTGCACCAACGAGTCCTGGTTCCATGCACCGCCATGAGTGGGGTTCCAGGGCGCCGGCGCAGGCACTTGATGGTGCGCTGGGTGCCCCTGGTGTCCCTGGAACGTCGGTGTTGAGGGCGCAGCTCCCCCGTAGCCGTACGTGGATGGTGCAGTATAGCCGTATCCGCCGAACGCGCCGCCAAATGGGCCGCCATACGAGGAAAGGCGGTGAAGGCCTCTTTGTGGCGGTGGTGGGCGCCATATGGCCACATTCGCAGGGAGCCCATCCAGGTCGATCAAGGAAGGGTGCGCCCGGTGGTGCGTGACTGGCACCGGACGGCGCGCACACCGCCAGAAGTTGTTTGCCACCATGCGGCCGCCACGACCACGGGCGACGACCATTGAGCGCCGCTCGCCGTTGCATCGGGCGCGCCCTGGGGGACGCTAGGGAGCCATCTGGTTCCCCGGTGCGGCGCGTTGGAGAGTGCGGCGGCGGGCGACGCGGCCGGCTGCTGCGCGGGCGCCGTGGACGAGGGCCCGTGTGGTGAAGGAGGCCGGGCGTCGATCTCCAGCTCCTCCAGCAGGAGATGGGTACGTGCCTCAGCAAACGCGTCGGGAAGGGGCGGTGCATCTTGAGGATCGACACCATGTGTCGGAATTTTCCGCTCAGGCCACGGAGCAGGGTGAGGACCATCTGACGATCGCCGATAGGATCACCGAACTCGGCGAGAGACGCCGCCATTGTCTCAAGGCGACGGCAGAAGTCGGTGATTGACAGGGAGTCTTGACGGAGGTTGCGGAATTGCGTCTCGAGGAGGAGGGCACGAGACTCCTTCTGCCCAAGAAACTCATCCTCGAGATAGCACCACGCCTCCCGTGCGGGGCGCTGCCGGATCATGAGCGACTGCTGCAAGTCGCCGGAGACGGTGCCGTAGATCCATGTCAGCACGACGCAGTCCGCCTGGAGCCAGGCAGGGCGCTCGGGAAGTGTCTCATCCTTGAGGACGTGATGGGTCAGCGCGTACTTGCCAAGGACGGTGAGGAACATCCCACGCCACTTGGTGTAGGTGTTCGTGGCCTTGTCGAGATGACGGGATGAGTGCCTTCACGCTGACGACGGCGGTGGCTCGAGCCTGATGGCCTCGTGGGCGGCTTCAAATTTTTCGAGGGCGTCGTTGCGGAGACGGGCCTCCTCAGCGAGGCGAGCCGCGGCGGCGGCGGCGGTGGCATCATCGTCATCTGGCATGGCGGGCACAAGGGGACCGGACCGGTGGACGAGGCCGACGAGAGCACGATCAGCGACGCGGGGCGGGCGATCGCGATGGTCACGATCGGCGACCGAGTGACGCGGGCGATCGGGACTGGAGGATCAGCGGCCGCGTGGGCATGCAATTACGTTCCTGGTGGTGGTGTACTTGCATGCAAGGGGCGATCGGGACTAGTTGGGATCAGCGGCCGCGCGTGCATGCGAGGGGCAGGGCAGGGCGGGCGATTAATTAGCGCGCGATCGGCTCAGCAGCGCCCGGCGAGTGGATCGGGCGGCAGGAGCGGGCGAGGAGGACCGGCGCGCGCAGACTAAGGTTGCGGAAGAGTAGCGGATCGTAACCGATTTGATACCATGAAAGTGTAGGAAGATTGATATCTATTCCAAGTATGTTTACAGGAGTACATATATAGCAGCCATGGGTGGCATGCAAGCCTACCACTAAGGCGCAATTACAGCCACAATTACATGCCTAATTATAGTAGTCTAACAACGAGATCATAAATGTGCAGAAACAATCCAGCTGCACGTTTTACAGGAGTTCTGGGACATGTGCCATTCTGAAGATTGTGCTGATGAAGAGTCCAACTCTGAAGAAAGTTCTCAGTTGCTGCTGGCAATTTCAATGGCCGCCTCTGCTGGTACTGTTTCTGCTAATTCCATTCAGTTTATGGGCGCAGTGCAGGGTCAACCGGCTCGTATTTTGGTGGACTCGGGCAGTACTCATACGTTTGTCAGTTCTAATCTGGCTCGGCAGCTATATGGTATGTCCAGCTTTAGCTCCACTCTGCGTGTTACAGTTGCTGATGGAACGCAGTTGCTCTGTTCATCTCAGTTTCTGAACTTACAGTGGTCTGTGCAAGATTGTGAGTTCGTTTCTGACGTTCAGTTTCTGCCCCTAACATCTTTTGAGTTAATCGTGGGAATGGATTGGTTAGTGGCGCATAGCCCAATGCAGGTTGATTGGCGACACAAATGGCTCCTCATCACTCTTGGCAACGAGCTGAAATTACTCCAAGGCTCTCTATCTGTTTTGCCGCCAGGTTCCGTGGTTCAAATCACAACTGTGTTGTCAGATGATACTGTAGCTCGTCAGCAGCCATTGCCGCCTGAGGTTGCCGGTTTACTCTTGGAATTTCAGTCGGTGTTTGCGCCTCCTACTGGCTACCCTCCTGAGCGTGATTGTGATCATGCTATTCCTCTGTTACTGGGTGCCACCCCTTTTTCGGTGCGTCCCTATCGTTACCCTTGCCGCCATCAAAGATGAGATTGAGCATCGGATCACAGATATGCTGCAGTCTGGTATTATTTGCCCGAGCTTCAGCCCATTTTCTTCTTCAGTTCTGCTTGTTAAGAAGAAGGATGGCACTTTTCGGTTTTGTGTCGACTTTCGTCAACTCAACGCAATCACAGCAAAGATCAAGTATCCGGTGCCTGTAATTGAGGAGCTGTTGGATGAATTGACACATGTTTCCTGGTTCTCTTGCTTGGACCTTACTGCAGGGTACTATCAAATTCATCTGAAGCCTGGAGAAGAGTTCAAAACAGCGTTTCAGACGATACCGGTCAGTACGAGTTTCTGGTGATGGCGTTTGGGCTTACAGGGGCACCTGGCACCTTCCTCAAGGCCATGAATACTACCTTAGCCCCGTCCTTCGGAAATGTGTGCTCGTTTTCTTCGATGATATTCTTATCTACAGTCGCACCTATGAGGAACATCTCGAGCATATCAAATTGGTGCTGCAGCTCCTTCAGAGGGATCACTGGCAGGTAAAAATGTCTAAGTGTGTGTTTGTTCAATGCCAACTTCGTTACTTGGGTCACATTATCTCGGAATCTGGTGTTGCTACGGATCCTGACAAAGTACAGGCAGTGCTACAATGGCCTGCTCCAATCACAGTCAAGGAACTTCGCAGCTTTTTGGGGCTCGCCGGTTACTATCGGCGCTTTGTCAAACATTTTGGCATCATTTCCCGGCCTCTGACTGAGTTGCTTCGGAAGGAGCGGTGTTTGTGTGGACTGATGTGCAGGAACAGGCATTTTCAACTCTGAAGCATGCTCTGACAACTGCCCCTGTCTTGGCTCTGCCTGATTTTAGCATGCCGTTTGTAGTCGAAACTGACGCCAGTGGACATGGGATTGGTGCCGTCCTGATGCAAAATGGCCACCCTTTAGCATTCTTGAGCAAGGGTTTGGGTCCTAGGTCCAGGGATTATCCACCTATGAAAAACAATATATGGCAATACTCATGGCCTTGGAGCAATGGTGCAGCTACCTTCAGCATGCTCAATTTCAGAAAATTACAGATCACCGCAGCCTTGTTCAGCTTACCGAGCAGCGCCTGCATACGCCGTGGCAGTAGAAGGTGTTCAGCAAGCTGATGGGATTACAATATCAGATTATTTATCGTAAGGGCGTTGAAAATGGAGCTGCAGACGCTTTGTCTCGCTGTCCACCTGCTCAGCTGGCTGCTATGTCAGTATGTCACCCCCAATGGCTGGAGGAAGTTATTTCTTCTTACTCTGCTGATTATCATGCTAAGGATTTAATTGCTAAGCTTTCTCTAGCATCTGATGCAGTCACTCAGGGTCTCTGTCACTTATGGACGACTAAAACAATTGTTTGCGTGGCATGATATGAAGTCTTCTGTCCAGTGATATGTCTCGGAGTGCTCTGTATGTTAGCAAGCCAAGCCGGATCGATCCAAGCTGCCCGGTCTTCTCCAACCTCTACCAGTGCCGGATCGTGCCTGGACTGTGATTTCGATGGACTTCATTGATGGTCTACCAACTTCGGGTGGCTCCAATTGCATCTTGGTTGTGGTAGATCTCTTTTCCAAGTACTCTCATTTCCTGCCTCTTAAGCATCCATTCACTGCTGCGGTGGTGGCACAGGCCTTCTTTTCCAATATTTATAAGCTGCATGGGCTGCCAACAGCCATTGTTTCGGATCGAGATAAGATCTTCACTAGCAATTTTTGGAGGGAACTCTTCAAATTGGCAGGGGTTGCACTCCGGATGAGCACAACTTATCATCCACAATCTGATGGGCAGTCTGAACGAGTTAATCAATGCCTGAAAACATTTTTGCGCTATTTCGTTCACATGTGCCCGAAGCAGTGGCGTCAATGGTTGGATCAAGCTGAATTCTGGTACAACACTACTTGGCATTCTGCTTTGGGACGGTCTCCGTTCGAAATGCTTTATGGATATCCTCCTCGGCAGTTTGGTATTACTCTTGCTCCTGATCTGCCA